GCTTATGGCAACAGCACCATCGAGAGCAGCCTTCCTCAGCCTAGCCCCCAGATATGTTGAACTGCAACTCCCACCACTAGGATGGAAGGTGTAGTCCAACGTATCTGGGCTGCACCGAGTCAGGAAAGGACAACTGAAGGAAAACCAGGCAGAATGCACTCTCAGTTGAAAGTCTGCAGGCAATAAACATAAGAATCGATTGAAACAAAGTCAGCAAAAGTTAAGTCAGGTCACTGGACCAGCTTGTGTGCACTCAAGAGGAGGTGATAGGTCAGTGGCAGAACACATGCTTTGCAGTTCAATCTGTCATCCCCAGCTAAAAGGATCAGGGGCAGGTAATGGAGAAGAAGGAGACCTGCATAAGACCCGGAAGAGCCACTGCCAAGCAGAGTAGGCAACACTGAGCTCAATGGGAAATGGCCAGACCTTGCTAGGAACTCCGCTGGGGATTTGCAGGGATAGCGAGTGTTTATAGATGTACAGAATCTATTAAAACCCCATTACAGATTCTGGACCTTAAACACAGATCCAAGTACTGTGTTTAAGGGTCCAAAATCTGGATAACACAGATCCAAGAACTGCAAATCATTCTGTTAACTTCCCTTTACCTCGTGGGATTAAACAGGGTGCACACCTAAACCAAATGAAAAGCAGCATCAATAAAAAAATGAGTGCAGTGATTAAAGACCAAGTTACTAAGAGACCAGTTCCTTCCAGAGTTGGATGCCATTTGCATGGTGTTTCCCTGGGCACAGAAGGCAGCCAGGCAGTGCAAGGAGCCCCAGTATATCATGACAGCCACCAAAGTGTTCATTTGTGCATGCATGCTCACACATACACACACACACATACACAGACAGTGTGGAGGCAAAGTGCAGTAGTTTTACTGAGAGATCTTTTGCAACCTGCTCCATGCACCAACAAGGATGCTGGTTCTGTTCCAAGCAACACAGGATGGGGCATGTCCGAGAGAGAGAGATTATATAAGGATGTTGAACTTCCTTCAGCTGGAGGGTCAAATTCTACTTTGAAGAAGCTCTCGGGGCTGCATTCCAGGGGTGGGTGGGGTTGAAGTCAAAGAGGGTGAACAAAAGGCAAGAACGGTCAAAACACCCGAACATTTTAGCTTAAAGCTCTTACTGCCAGTTACTCAACTTGAACAATAAGGAAAAAATGCACAAAAGCTGGGACATCACCAAACGATCCATGGCTGAAGGAAAGGGGTGTGACCACGCGGTGAATCCCAGAAGATCCGATGAGGGCTGCAGACGGGCTAGGTTTGGTGCCTAGGCCTGGGTTCTGCAACCCTGAATTTTTAAAAAATGGCTCTTGCATGGTGGCAGTACTGATGGTAGCGACTAAGACTCATGCCACCTGACTGCAGCATCAAGTCATAAAAGACAGCATTCGGCTACCAATGCACATCTCGTACACAGATTTCTGGAGATTCTCAGCTTTTGCTAGAGACACCAGCACCCTATTTAACAACTTGCCTAGCAATTCCAAGCAGATGAGCAAGTGGAGCGGTGACGGACAGACCGACCTTTCCAGTCCTGCCTCTGCAAGTTTGCTTAGCTTAAATGCTGGCTTCCCCTTCTTTCCAGCCAGCATGGGAACACAAGCTACCAACCTTCTAGCAGGCTAGTAAAAACAGCAATTTCAAGTTAGTAAATGTTGTGGGTTTATTAACAAGGCACCTGCTGTGTTTGTTTTCGGTATACAATTTAAATGTACACCAGCAATTGCTATGTGGAAACATAAGAAGCTAGGGATGGTCCCTCACCACCAACCATCACAAAAAAGCAAAGTACCCTGCGCTCAGGGGAGCAGGACTTCCTCCAAAACAGCTGCTAACGCTACCCATGTGCACTACATGCACCATTCTCCCCTCATTATGCATTTCAGCTCTTCTCCCCAATCCCTGATACGAGGTTTAGATTCTGAATTCCAACTTCTTCACAAAACAGTACTGTGTAACAACATGTAACAATTTAATATATAAATTCACACAATTGTAAAATGTAACCAACCAATATACAATATGAAGATTAGTTGTAATTCCAAATTCCATTTGCATCCCCTTTTCCACAAAATGTTATGCCCAAAGCGGCTTACAGGAAGGTAAAACCAATAATCAATAGAACAGTTGAAATGTATCAAACACACAGTTTCAAGATCTACAGTTAAGACAGTTAAAACAGCAGTCTCAGACTTATACAAAACTTTAAATGGCAAACCATGGAACATTAAATGCCTTTCTAAACAAATATGTTTTCAGAGCCTGCCAAAATGCAGGCAAGTTTGGATGTTAGGCACCAAACAATTACCCTTTCCAGTATAAAGTAGAGATCAGTGTTTGTGATTCTAGTTTGGATATTTAGTGCAGGATTCCAGTCTCCTCTGGGACTGGAGCCAGCATGCCTATACAAATATATCTAACCTTGCCCTTGACCAGAAAGTCTTATAATATATAATGGAAAAACCAAAGACACACAAAAAAAGAGACCACACATAATCACACAGCCAACTCACAGTAGTAGATGATTAGTTCACCCATGGACAGCCACTCAACTGTTACCTTTCTTAGACAGCCGTTCCACTCGCCGTGCCTCAATCTTGTCGCATTTCCGATACCTGTCAGTCAGCCAGACAGACAGTGTCAGAGCAGTGAAAAGTTCCAAACTCAGACTCTTTTAACCCACTGTTTCGGGAAGCAGAGGAAAACCAGACCTTTGCTTTCCAACAAACATCAGGCAATAGTAGATGGATTTTGTCATACAGACAAAGCTAGTCACTGGAAACAAGGGCTAACAAGTTGCTGAACTATTCCTCCAAAAGGAAGGAAGGACCACCTGAGAAACAAAATGAACGGGCATTCTTTCCACCAAGAAACCAATGAGTGGAAAAAATGCTCTCAAAAAAACAGGAGGCATGTTCTCAAGTGCTTGCAAAATGCTTTAAAAAGCCCCGCACATTTCAGGAAAATATTTAAAACCATTCTGCAAGTTGCAACAATTTTTACAACCACATCTCAAGTTCCTATTAGTAATAACCCATAACCATGAAAAATATATTCAGCATGGGTTCTTATTTTTGAACCTACTATTATATATCTAAAGGAATGCTTGCGCCCATATATGCCCTCCCGCCCCTTGAGATCAGCAACGGATGCCCTTCTCCGGGAACCCTCTGTGAATGATATTAGGAGGGTGAATACCCGGAGGAGGGCTTTCTCTGCGGTGGCGCCCCATCTATGGAATGCGCTCCCCAGAGAGGTCCGCCTGGCGCCGTCGTTATTTGTTTTTCGGCGCCAGGCTAAGAC